GGGGAGGGCGGGTAATAGGCATTTCTGTAGAAGCATTTGCCCAATGGGGACCTCCCATACACAGTCCAAAGCCAGCCTGCAGGCCGCCCTGGGTGAGCTCCCTCCAAGACCTGCCCTCCCAGGGCCGATGCCGCCTGAGAGGCTTTCTGCAGGAGGAGCTCGTCCTGCACTTTTCTCTTCAGAAGGCTGCTCCTCTAGGAAGGTGGCAGGTGAGGGGACGTGAGGGACAAGGTGTGCTGATGTCTCCATCCCCCTCTTCCTCCTCGTCCCCAGTGAACGACCTGAGGAACGCAGCCCCCTGTGCCGTGAGCTACCTGCTGTTCGACCCGGATGACAAGGTCATGAAGCAGAACCTGGTGTATTACCAGTACCACCGGGAGAAGTGGGGCCTAGCCGACGAGCATTTCCAGCCCAGGCCAGTGAGTACCGCCCGTGCCGCACCTCACTCCCCCTTTCTCCTCTGCAGCCTCACCTTCCGGAGACGGAGAGAACAGGTTATTTCTGAAGTGAAAGAAAATCCTTTTCTTCTTTTATTTTTGTCCCTGTAGACTATTATTTCTTTTTACTGCTTTATTCCAATGTCTGAACCAATAGAAACTCAAAGAATTACAAACATTATGGAAATGGTTCACTTAAAAAGTGAATTTTTCTTTTTTAAATCATTTTACTGGGGGCAAGTACAACTCTTATCACAATCCATACATCCATTCGTTGTGTCAAGCACATTTGGATATCTGTTGCCATCATCATGCTCAAAACATTTGCTTTCTACTTGAGCCCTTGGTGTGAGCTCCTCATTTTTTACCCTCCCTCCCCTACCCTCCTTCCCTCATAAACCCTTGTTAATTTATCAATTATTATTATTTTGTCATATCATACACCATCCGACGTCTTCCTTCACCCACTTTTCCACTGTCTGTCCCCCACAGAAGAGGTTATATGTAGATCCTTGTAATTGGTTCCCCCTTTCTACCTCACCCTCTCTCCACCCTCCGGTACCGCCACTCTCACCACTGGTCCTGAAGGGATCATCCGCCCTGGATTCCCTGTGTTTCAGTTCCTATCTGTGTCAGTGGACATCCTCTGGTCTAGCCAGACTTGTAAGGTAGAATTGGGATCATGGTAATGGGGGCGGGACATTGAAGAACTAGAGGAAAGTTATATGTTTAATCATTGCTATACTGCACCCTGACTGGCTCGTCTCCTCCCCGCGACCCTTCTGTAAGGGGAAAAAAGTGAAGTTTTCATTGTGATAAGAGTTGTATGAACCCCTGATAAAATGATTTATTTTTTTTAAGTGATTTTTTTTTCCTAAGCCTACAGGGGGTGGGAGGGGATAGAAGTCACCCCACTGCTTTAAACTCAGACTCACTGCTGTGTAGTCAATTCTGACTCCTGGTGCCCTACAGGACTAGGAAGCCCTTGTGGGTTTTGAAGACTTAACTCTTTATGGACGTAGAAAGCCTCCTTTTTCTCCCTCAGAGCAGACGGTGGTTTCGAACTGCCGACCTTACATTTGGCAGCCCAGTGTGTAACCACTACATCACCAGGGCTCCTCAGGTGACCATTTCCTTGCACATACAGCCTGCATGTGTCTATTACAAAAGAGGGACCCCACACTGCATTCTTTGTAATGTGCATTGTCTTGCGAACACTTCTGCGTGAACATTTCCCGTGGCCTGCTCATATACCCCCTTCATTGTCTTCTGACAGCTTTGTGGTTTCTGCCCCTTGACGGACGGACCACCACTTAGTGAGTCGTCCTTTGTGGGCAAACTTACGGTTTTCCATCCAATGTCAGAGAACTCCATGAATGACATGTTACGTTGGGAAGATCTTTGTTCTGTCGGTCTCTGCCTTTAGCTTGCATTGACCCTGGAGTTTCTACATGGTATCCTGAGCTGCCGTACACATAGTTTCCTACCCTCCTCACTCCCCTTCCCCTGCTAACACACACACACACACACACACACACACACACACACACTTTTACTTTCACTCACTCACTTACTGAATTGACTATTTTAAAATTGAGATATTAGTCACATATAAGATTCACTTTTAAAATGTGCAGTTCACTGGGTTTTAGTGTACTTGCAAAGTTATGCACCCCTCCCCACCATCTCATGTTAGTAATTTTCTCAGCTTTATGAGCTGTCGGTTCAGCTGCCGTCTGTCCAGTGGGCCCTTGACCCTTACACTGTCCTGTCTCATTTATGCACTTTCTCATCACCCCAGAGAGAAACCCCACGCTCCCTTCTCCCCATCCCCTGGTGAAAACCAATCTACTTCCTGGCTTCGTGCATTCGTCTCTTCTGGATATAAAGGGGGCCATAGCACATGCTTGGCCATTCATCTGTGGATGGAAGTTGGATTGTGTTCACTTGATGAATAGTAATGAATGCTGCTGCTATGAACATTCTTACCAGTTTATATGTAGCATATGTTTTTATTTCTTCAAGTGGAATTGCCGGGTCGTGGCTCACTGCTGTGGGGTCATTTGACTCATAGCGACCCTGTAGAATAGCGTAAAACTGTCCCTGCGGGTTTCCGAGACGGTCAGTGTTCACGGGAATAGAAAGGCTCATCTTTCTGCTGGAAAGTGGCTGGTGGTTTTGAACTGCTGACCTTGTAGTTAGCAGCCCACCTCATAACGCACTACCCCACTAGAGTTTCTTGGTAAGTCATATGGTAACTCTGTATTTGGTCTTTTGAGAATCTACCAGACTATTTTCTTTTCTTTCTTTTTAAAATCATTTTAGTGGGGCTCATACAGCTCTCATCACAATCCATACATGCATTGTGTCAAGCACATTGGTACATTTGTTGCCACCATCATTTTCAAAACATTTTCTTTCTACTTGAGCCCTTGGTATCAGCTCCTCATTTTTCCCCCTCCCTCCCTCACAAACCCTTGATAATTTATAAATTATTATTTTGTCATGTTTTACACTATCCGACATCTCCCTTCACCCACTTTTCTGTTGTCCGTCCCCCAGGGAGGAGGCTATATGTAGATCCTTGTCATCAGTTCCCTTTTCAACCCCACCTTTTCCTTACCCTCCTGGTATCAGTACTCTCACTATTGGTCTTGAGGGGTTTATCTGTCCAGGATTCTGTATGTTTTCAGCTCTTATCTGTACCCGTGTACATGCTCTGGTCTAGCTGGATTTGTAAGGTATAATTGGGGTCATGATAGTGGGGGGAAGCATTAACTAGGGGAAGTTGTGTGTTTCATCGGTGCTACACTGCAGCCTGCCAGACTATTTTCTAAAGTGGCTGCACTATTCCGTATTTCTACCAGCAGTGTATGAGGAGTCCATTTTCTCCACATCCCCTCCAACATCTTCTATTATCTGTATCAAAACAAAACAAAACAATAACAACCAGTTTTATTGGCACTTAATCCACATATCATATAATTCAATAGTTCAGTCACATCAAGAAGAGTTGTACAGTCATCACCACTCCGTTTTGGAACATTTTCCTCTTTCGTGTACTCATTGTCATTAGCTCCCCTCTCTTCCCCACCTCCCCTAACTCCAAAGAAACCTTTAATTCCATTACTATCTCTATAGAATTATCTATCCTGGACTTCATATAGAGAAAAACATAATGTGTTAGCCCTTGGAGACTAGAGAAACAAATGCAGGGAGACTCATATGTGTCTAAGAAATAATTTTATATACAAGAGCAATTGAATCTTGAGAAAACATCCCAGCCCCGTCCAGATCAAGTCCATAAGTTCAATATTAACCCATATGTCCAATATTAGCCATAAATTCCTCTTCAGACTCACAAAACACACGAAATGGCACCGTACGCAGGACGAACACAGGCCAGTGGATGGAAAGTCTTGTGGATCCACTGGCATTGTAAGCATCTCAGCTCTGGCAGGGGTCTCCACGTGTGTCCTCCAGCTCAGGGCACTAGCGAAGCTCCATGTGTCTTCTCAGCTGGAACGTCTCCCAAGGAGTGAGCGTGTGTCCCACCTCCAGCAAGCTATTTATCTCCTTCGCACCTCCAAAGGAGGTCATCAAGCTGAGACCTGATTGACAGGCTAACCTCCACCCCTCCACTCCTAAGTCTCAAATTGACAACAGATTATGTAGCTACCACACATAACAAAAACCAAAAACTCATGAACAACAATAGCAAAGTCAAACAGAAAAAAATCCAAGCAAAAAGAAAGTAGAAAACATGAGAAACTAGTATGGTCTCTCTTTTTATTGATTGCCACCTGTGGTCGTCATTTCTTGTAGAATAATACCAGACTATAGTCCGAAGGAGTTGGAGATTAATGATATCCCAAATGTCCAACTCCTCCAAGAACGTAGTCTACTCCATCCTCCCCTCTCGGCGCTGGCTTCTGCCACAGGCTGCATCCTCTCACAGATCCCAGGAAGGAAGTGTGCGGGAGACCGCTCTTGTGATTGTGGGTGCTGGTAAGTCCGCAGTTCAGACGTCTGTCTGTAGGTTCCTCCTCGTCCAGGAGGCTGCGGAAGCTGGTGAAATCAGGTCAGGCGATAACCACCACTCAAGTCCCAAGAACTGAAAGGCAAGCCCAGAGCTGGGTCCAGAGCCTGAGCCCCAAATGTCTCAAAGCCAAAGCAGGTCCTTCTTGCTTCTTGCCTACATTCCCTCAGGAAGGGCAGTCCCCCAGGGAAGGCTTTGGTGGAGGTGTGGCTGTCTTCCAGCAGGGCAGAGCCCCAAGGAAACAATGAGTGTCCCTTGGGTGGAGAGTCAGAACACATCCCAACTTGATCCCGGCCATTCGCACACAGAGAGTTCCCTCCAAGCTGGCAGCTCGGATTTACAGTGCATCGCAAAAGGGAGTGTGGCCTGAAGGGCCGCATTAAGTACTAATTGCATACATCTCACCTTTCCCTGGTTGTAGGCCCTCTCTCTTGTAAAGTTAGCTTCTTGGTGGTGGGTTTTCCATAGAGACTAACGAGGCCAGCTGGAGGACCACTGATTGGGAATGGCTCCACTTCAAACAGCTGAAGCCCTCACGAAAGAAGGGGGCCATAGAGGCTGTTGTCTGCTTGCGTCCGAACAGGAAGCCGTCCAGTTCTTTAACGTGACCACGCTCCAGAGAGAGCTGCGTGACTTCGCGAAGGAACACCTAGTGGACGATGACGAGGTGAGTTTCCGTGTCTGCACGAGGACTCCCAGCCTCACCCACGTCGCTGCAAGGTCGGGTTGGCCCTGAAAGAAGGGGCCAGACGGGGCCTTGAGAACAGGGTTTGTGTGGGCGTCTAGGGAAAGCCAGCACGCTGGCCCGGCCAGGAGCGGCTTTCGAGGAAGGCGAGGCCAGGCGGCCGCACCGCCCTTCCTGACGGGGCCTGAGAAGCCCCAGGGATCCCCCACGCCTGGCAGCCACCGTTGTCCAGCTTTGCACAAACAGCGAGCTTTTGAATTGCTCAGCACTCTGAGGTAGCCTGGAACCCTCCCCCCTCCTTTTATGTCAGCTTAAAGTGTGTGTGTGTGTGTGTGTGTGTGTGTGTGTGTGTGTGTGTCTAAGGCCCTGACTCTGAAGCCATCTTACCCCTTCTGGAATTTCGTGTGTGTGTGTGCTTCCCCTCCTCCTCTTTTTCTATGTCAGCTTATTATTATTATTGTGTGTGTGTGTGTGTGTTTCTCTCTAAGGTCCTGACTCTGAAGCCATCTTACCCCTTTCTGGAATTTCTTGAAGTTCTTCCGACGTGTCACTCAGTTGACTCCTGTTTTGACAAAGAGACTGAGCTGGGTGGGCGGTGCTTACTTGTGGTGGGGCAGCTTAGGCACCGAAAAAACATCATTAAGGGCCGTATTTAGAGCACACTAGGAGAGACTAGGGCAGGCTGCCCACTGGCGCTGGAGACCTGAGCCCAGGGTCCCCCTCCCTTTCTAGATGGGGAGCTGGAGGGGAGACGGAACGTCACGGGAGCTGCCCGTCTGGAACCCGGGCCCTGAGCTTCCGGGCCTGCACATGCCGCTGCCCTAGTTTTGGGTGCGGAACTCCAAAGGAGACATTGGCCTGGAATATGTTTGATGTACAAGGTTCCGCATGGGCTGAGCCCACCACGAGGCACCCACGTTTCTGTTCACTTTAGCTATCTCACAAACCCCCACAGACCCCTATTGTTGAGTCCATTCGGTACTCCTAGCAACCCTATAGGACCGGGGTTTCCAAGACAGTAATTCTTTATGGGAGTAGAAAGCCTCATCTTTCTTCCTTTGAGCAGCCATGGTTTTGAACTGCCCACCTGGTGGTTAGCAGCCCAGTGTGTAACCCACTAGGCCACCACTGCTCCATTCACTACCCCATGGGACTACTAAGCGTGGCCCTGGCTGTGAGCGTGACAGCGGGTTGCCTCTCTAAACCGGGACATGGTAGCGTGGCCCTGGCTGTGAGCGTGACAGCGGGTTGCCTCTAAACCGGGACATGGTGCACATGGACCGTGCGTCTTGGGGTCCTGTTGTCAGTAGGCGCCTTCGCCTGGTGTTCCTGTGCTGTTCTTGGTTTGGGTCCTCTGGAAGAAGGACCTGAGCTAGGGCCCCAAGGATGCTGCAGGGGCCCCTTCCCACAGGAAAGAACAAGAAGGTTGGGTCTACGGTCTGGAAAATATGGAAAAAACAAATGCCAAAAAAGCATGGCTTTCTGAGGCTTTGTACAATCTTTATGCAAGCACACGGCCTCTTCTTTCACTTGAGGGGCCCCGGGTGGGTTGGAACCGCTGACCTTGGGGTGAGCAGGGCTCCTTAGCAGTGATGAAGAATCCTTTTCTTGTTCACTCGGATAAGATCCTAGAGGTGGGATGCCGGGAGTGGGGGAGACAGTTATGGGTGTTTTGAAGCCTTTGATGTACAAGGCAAGGTCTTTAGCAGTAAGCACGGCTGCTGGATCAGACTCAGTAAAGCTCTTTCACGGCACAGAGGAGGAAGCCCATGCGCAAGGTGGAGTGAGTGAGCTGTCACGCCAAACCAAACTCACTGCCATTGTTTCCTGGCTCTGGAACATTAGTTTAGGGTGTGATTGATTAATTGAGTGATTAAGCTAAAAGGAATTTGGTCTCGGCTTCCTTAGCCTCTCTTGGCAGCCTGTCAAGTGGCGCACACGGTTAAGTGTAGGACTAACAAGGGAAAGTTCGTGGTTCGAAGCTGCCCATGGGCATGGTGGAAGAACGATCTGTCTAAAGATGGACGTCTGCGAGAGGACAGACAAGAAAAGCCCATGAGATAGTCCTACTCACCGGCCAGGAGTAACTGTCCTGAGGCATTGGGAGGCAACGCCTTGCAGCCCAGGGCACTTTTCCACAGAAGCAGCAGCTGCCAGCCATTGGCAGCGGACTGGCAGCTGTGGGCTGGGTGGGCCGGAAGAGGAGGCCCGGGTGCAGCAGCCACCGCATCCGTTACCTCAGGCCTTTGGAGGCGCTTCCCTTCACCTGTATTTGGGGGCGTCCTGTTCTTAGTGAGCGGTCCCCGTGCCCACACAGCAGGAAAACCCCCGTGTCACACCACCCTTTCCTTGGGGAGGCAGAAAGCAACTGAAGCACGTTTCCCAGGTGGGGGTCTTTTACTGCTCTCGCTTTGGTTTCTCATCTCAGGCCCGGCGTGGCGGAAGTAAATGCTGACAATAGTCAGACCCTCTTTTTGTGTGCGTCCCATAGGGTTTGAGAGATTTTCCAGCGGCTCCCCAATGCTGAGAGGTGTGAGCAATCTGTGTGTAAGCAATGTCAGAAGAGGCAATGGACCCTTGGCTTGGGGCAGGGATCTGGATGAGGCAGACCGGGCTTGGGGAAGGAGAGGTGGTCACCTTGGGTGGGGCTTGCCTGTGCTGACCCTCGAGGGTGGGAGGGTTGCCCTTTTCGGTGATTATTTGTTCCCTGAAGCCAAGGGGATGGGTGTCATCGGCTGGGGGCCCAGGTGGGCTTTGGGAGAGAAATCAACACAGAAGGAAATCAGAAGCGACGGCATTCCTTCAGCTTGAGGCCCTCAAGGCTAGTTGCAGGAGCATGCGCGTGGGCTCACTCTCCCCCCAAACCTCTCCGGTTGTTGGCGTGGAGGAAGGTCTACTAGCAGTCCCTACCCGTGTGCCTCACTTAGCCTTCCACGTGCTCATTGAACACCTTCTGTGTGCCAGGCTCGGGGGGAGAAAGATGCAGCCAGACCCCGGTCTTTGAAGAGCTCCTGGTCTGAGCATCAAGGCAATTGAGGAGAGGGGGGGTGGAGAGGACTCTTCAGAAGGATGGGCATCAGGTGGGGCCCTTGAGAGGGCGCTGGGCTGCTTGAGGGTGCAGGTCTCCTCTTTGGTCACAGAGCACAAGTCCACCTGGAGGGGAAGCCACGGTCCACTGCAGTGTAGAAGTCAGGCCAGCCTGAAAAGGCAGCGAGCCAATAGGCTCCTCTCACCGAATTCAGCAGGTGTGTTTTGTCTCTTCCAGGGTGAGGTGGTGGAGTACGTGGATGACCTCTTGGAGATGGAGGCGGCCAGCTAGTCTCTAGCAACCCCAGTGGCTTCCCCTCGATGTTCAGGAAGCACAGGAGTCTTTGTTCTTGTTCCCGGTTGTGAATACCTCAGAGCCTTCCCCTCCCCCTGGGAAGTGGAAGGGAAGCCCCGTCTCTCACTCCAGGCTCCTCCGGGTCAGCCCACCGTCCCGTGTTCCCACTTGTCTCCCCGACTTCTTACCTGCTCACCCTGTGTCTGCTCCTCTGTCTCCACATGCACACCTGCCATCTCCACGATACCTACCTTTCTCACCACGCCAGCTGGAAGGACAGACAGCCTGCTAGGATTTGTTCATGTCCTCCAGAAAAGTCAGTATTATTTTTTAAAGAAGAGAAACCCTCCTAAAAAATGACCCTCGTGAGAACCTACTCTGGCCTCTTTGTTCTTCCAGCCTCTAGTCTCCTGTCTCCTAGCAGGAGACATGGGGGGACGGGGCTAAGCTTCTCCACACCTGGGGGTGGTTTTCACTGTCTGGCTTGCCCCATGTTGGCACTCACTGAAAAAGCGCATTGGGGAGACGGTGCAAAATGCAGAAAAATGACTTGTACCCAGCCGTCTTCCATCTTCCGCTTTACAGTGGTTGGTTGGTGGTTCTCATTGAAGACCTTGCTCGGTGAGTTAAAAATGGACAAACCCCAGAAAGCATCTAGCTTCATTCAGTCTTTCAATAAATATTTATTAAGCAACTACTATGTGCTAGGTCTTGCTCTGTGCACTGGAAAGACTGCATGGAATGTTAGACAACAACACTCGTTACCACGGAGCTTTTCAATCCCTCAGGGAGAGGACAACTACACACTGGTGGTGGTCACTGCTGTGGAGAAAAACAAAGCTGGAAAGAGGAGGAGGCATCCTGGAGGCGGGGCTGTAGTTTCAAAAGGGTGGTCAGGGAGGCCCCACTGAAGGTGGCATTCGAGCCGAGAACTGATGGAAAGAAGTCCCCAAGCCAGAGCCTGCTGGATGTGGTCAGGAGCAGTTAGGGGGCCAAACGTAGTTTGGGGGAAGGGGACCGAGGAAGGAAAGAAGGTTAAGAGGCGTAAGGACAGGAGGTGGGGTGAGGCCTTGATGCCCGTATAAGGCCTATGGAGTCAATTCTGAGTTAGACAAGAGGAGCGTCCATTACCCAGTAAGCGTGAGCCTGTTGGTGCTCACTCATCGTTATGTGGTGAACAAGTTCACACTTTTCCATCTGTTCCTGCGTAAAGCTGACATCTTTGTGTGTCTCCCCCAGCTGCACAGCACGTGCCTACAGAATCAAACTCTTGTCAAACTAGCAGGCCCTGGCGAGGATGGAGGCCCCAGTCAACAGGTTACAGCATGGCCCAGGTTCTTCAGTACCACATAGGGGGAGGGATGGAGGCAAGAGAAGGCGGCCGTGACTTCTGGGAGACAGGACTTGCCCTGCTGTGGCACGGAAGGAAGGAACATGTTTGACCTTGAGTTGCTCCTCAAGGGTATGGAGTGCCCACTGCCTTCAAGTCAATTCTGACTCCTTGACCTTGTAGGATAGAGTAGAACTTATTCCCCCGGGTTTCTGACACCGCAACTCTTTGCGGGCCCAGACTGCCTCATCTTGCTGATTCATGAGAGGCGGAACCACATTCATTTTTGTTTTTCCAGGCTCCCCAACGATACTTACATCCAGGAACTCAGAGGCAGCCTCCTATTGCCGATTTCCCCTCACTCCCCTTCTCTCATTTGCACGAAGAGCCTCGCCCCAACACAATAGCTACTATCTCTGGCTGCCTCTCCTGATCAACAGAGCCTGGCATCCCAGGGGACTGTGTGGCCAGAGGAGTTAGTGTTCTTATTGGCTTCCTTATGGGTGGGCTTATGTCTGGAGCCACCTCTCAGCCACTGACCCCTCCAGGCCAGCCCTGAGTCAGAGCTCCCAGGACTCCCCACTAGGGAACTCAGCCTTTGGGTTCTCACTCTCCACACTGCATCCTCCACCCAAGAAACTTCCTTTTGAAGTCAGTGGGGAAGAGGGTCACCGGGCAGAATGGTCATAGAAGGGAGCCCAGTGAGTGGACGCCCTGCCCCAGGACTCTGGGGCCAGTGCAGTTCATGTACACTCTGCTCACCCACCTGGCCCCTGGATATAGCTGTCCTTCCAGTTGCATGGGAAAAGGAAAGGGGCACAGCCCCCACCCATCCCCACCCCCCGCCCCGGGACCTGGGCTGGCATTCTGACTCACTCCACCCAGGGACCTGGGGGGATCCTCTGAGGGGTCCTAACTTGGCTGGCTGTTTTGTGGATGATGATGTTCCAGTGGGAGAGTGGGGAGGAGGAGGCAGGGAGCATCCTCATTCGTTCTCTGTAGTCGGTCTCTTTCCCCCTGTAGGCCCCAAAGGACCTGAGCCCCAAGGAAGAGGCAGACTGGTGATAGTGGGGCAACATTTGAAGCAATTTGCTTCAGTTGAAGGCTTGGGAACTACATTTCAAAAGAAACCAAAACTAATCTTTACAGCAAATAAATAGGCTGGGTGGGGAGGGGGTGTGCGGTCAGGGGCAGTTACCTCAAACTCACCGTGAAACCCCAGTATGCAGGCGGCACTCGGCGACCTCCACCCAACATCTCCCTCACTGTGCTTCTTGGAAGAGCCTGGAAGATTCCTGGATTGAGCCGCCATCAGTTGGTTCAGCAGCATCCTGGCTTGTCTCTTGAAACAAGCAAACCTATTTGTCAGCTTTGTGGCTGTTTCCAGGCCCAGCCAAGGACGTGTCTGCCGGCCTCGCGCCCACCTGAATGTTGTTTGGGTCTCTCAGGCCTGTTCCCAGGGGCGGCTGCCCACCTGGAGTCAAGGGCGAGGAGCCCTCCCCAGCCCCACTGCTGCTCGGGCAGGGGCCGCCAGTGTGGCCCCTGCTCATGTGCTGAATTTACTTCTGGGGGGGTTGTGTTGATACGCTATTAGCTGTGTGGCTCATTGACCGAAACGTGGCACAGGCCAATGGACCCAACACGAAGACGGGTCCGAGATTTGAAAGCTAACAATTCTCACCACCATCCCCTGGAGCGCACCTCTGGGATGGAGAAAGGTGGCCCACACGGGACGCAGGCCCCAGGGCTGCCTTCAGAAAGGGGCGCGTTCTGGAACTATTAGTAGAGGAAGTTCGGGCGCACAACTGTATTGAATGAAACCCGGTGGCAGACAGAGGAGGATTTGTTAGGTTGTCGACGGAGACCCGTTCGGTATGGCTGCCGGCGGAGTCACCAGTGGCCAGCTCTGGCCCACATTGATGGAAATAACGTTTTTTACATGTGCGCTGTTCAGCCTAAGCAGTTTCGGTTAAAAAACAAAAAACCTCTCGCCAGCCCCTTTCCCAACACTTAAAACGGCGAGGGGAAGGTGGCCGGCTGCCAGAGCAAACATTCCCGTTTAATTAGTGTTTGAACATGGAACTGCAACCGTTTGTACGGGGCCACAGAGGAGCACCCCCACCTGCCTGAACTCTTGATCATCTGCCATCCCCCAAACAGCGACTTCTTTTTTCTGGGGACTCCACGCTTGAATGACCCAGTGTGGGGAGCTGAAGCTGTGTACAAGGGGCTGAGGGGGAGGAGAAGGGCGCCTTAAAAAAGCCTCAGCCAAAGGTTTTGTGCAGTGGATTTCCTGTGCCCGCACCATGGGCAAGGCTGTTCCCCACGCTTGTTCCCAGTGGCATCTCCCGGAGAGGGAGGACACCTTGACTTTCAGGGTTTTTGCCTTGAGTGACCCATACCTATCCACCCGCTCAATAAGTTGCTGTGCCTTTGTGCCGTAGTTGAGTTTTCACCCCTAGGGCAGCCATGCCGTAGCACCCCCATGGGTTCCCTGGGTGGCAGACAGGGTTGTCTTGACTACTCTAGAGAAAGGCAGGCCCTTTGAATCGTGAATCTACTCAAGGCCAGGAATCTTATTGACAGGTCGCTGCCTAGAGAACCCTAGGAACGGTCTACCCTGCCCACATGGCAACTTAGAGCAGGCACTATCTGCCAACCATCACCTGGCTTTGGTGCTGATCCAGTGGATGGGCTCAATAGCCTCTCGAAGCCTAGAAGGTCACAGAGGAGTGCCTTGGTCTATAAGACTAGAAAGGAATCACAAATTGACCAATTGGTACAAGATTAGATTTGTGGGTTTAACCTTTTTAAGGGAGGCAAACTAAACCTGTGTCTATCAAGTCAATTCCAACTCACAATTCCTCCCTCGGGTTTCTGAGTCTGCCAATATGGACAGGGGCACACAGACTCACCTTTCTCCTGAGGAGTGGCGGGTGGTGGTAACTGCCAACCTGGCTGGCAGTTAGCCGCCCAACCCATACCCATCAGGGTGGTAGAAATGCTACTACTGATATCTTTCCCCTCGGCTTCCTTGGCAGGAAGGCAGGATGTACACACTCTTGTGAGAAACTGGAATCTGGAAAATGATGGGAAACAAGTTTTTAAAATCATGTCTCAGTTTGCTTACTCTTGTTTTCCTCCTCCTTCCACGGGCTGGGACAGTCTTAACCTCACCCGTGCATTCCGGGGTGAATGTTTCAAGGAACCCTTCTTTTGTCAGAGGGGTGACATTTCTGACATTCACTTAGCAAAACAGAAACCGTATGCGAGGGAGCCAGGGTTGGTTCCTATGAGCCACGTACTGACCAAGGACCTTGCAGGCAGCCGGGCTTATTCCTCTCCTCTGGAAAATTATCTCTTGAGACCTGGGATTCCACCTGAAAAACATCTGGAACTCAAGGCTTGCTTTGGATCTGATGAGCTGGTCCTTCGTCGCCAAGGTCTGAGAAGTGACTCAATATGTACCTTTTTTTTTAAAAAAAAGGACCCCAAACATCTTCGGGCACGACTGCCAATAGCTACTGTGCTCTATCCCGTCACTAAGAGGCAAGCTAGGAGAAAGAGGAAAGGGAGTTAGCTGGAGGCGGACGGGAAGAGAGGAGTCAGCCGGTGCACAAAGAGGCCCGTGTTAGGGAAAGTCCAAACACCAGCTGTCTGAAGACGAGGTGGACAGAAGGGGTCTTGTTCATGTCAGCTTGGGAATTCCGCACGACACCGGGAAAGTTTGGGCTGAGAAGCAATGGCGCTGTCTGGAATACGTTTGAGTGTGGATGGAGGTCCGAGGTCCAGCTCTCTTGAAGCACAGGCTTGTCCTCACCAGGGAGCTGCTCTCAGAAGGGATGTGGAGGACACCGGAGGCATGATCAAGAATGTGGTCTCCGTCGAGTGCCAGCCCGATCCCCTGGACAGCTCTGGAGCATGGATTCATATCGGTTCTGCTTGGAGGCAAGAAAGCTACCCATCTGTCAGTCATGCTTTCCCTAGAGGAATCACTCAGTGTCATCTAGTCGATTCCAACTTGGAGATGACCTACAGCACTTCTGAGGGCTTCCGGAGGCAGTCAGTCTTTACAGGAGTAGAAAGTCTCATCATTCTCCCAAGGAATGGCCAGTGGGTTCAAATTGCTGACCTTGTGGTTAGGAGCCCAACCAGTAACCCATTATACCACCGGCTCCTGGCCTTAGAGGATGGGCATAACCTCTTGGGCAAGGAAATTCCCATTAGGTCAAGCACAATCTTCTGGTGAGAAAGGCTCACTTCAGTGTTTAGGAGCATTGAGCACTGAACACTCAGGGCAGCTTGAGAGCTGGGGTGGGACACCAGGGGCATCACTACATTGAATGGCTTGGAAGGCCTGGACCGCTAGTGGTCAGAAAGGATATGAGGCCAGACGTCGTGTGGACATAAGCTGTTCCCTACCTTAGCCTTGTGCCCCAGGAGTCTACATGGCCTGCTTTGCCCTCTAGCTTCTTGCTGGATTTAGATACTGTAAAGAGCAGGCAAGAGCCTGCAGGGTATTTACTAAAAACCCCTGTTTCCTCCAGACAACAAACAGTTGGGACAGTAGCTGGGCTCTCATTAAGGTCAGAGCTCTTGTCCAGCAGTGCCTTTCTTCAGTCTAACGCTCTGCCAACTGAGCTATTTGGCATCCCAGCAGTGCCTCTTATTGAAGCTCTTGGTTCACCAACAGCTCTTCACCATCTCTGATGGTTCTTTTAATCCTACCCACGCATTTGCTAGTAGTCCCCTTTCCTTTAGTGATCTTTCCGAGTGTCCTCATCAGTTAGATGGTAGATAATCTATTCTGGTCTCTTAGGCCAGTGCTTCTCACACTGTACTGTGCCTACCAACCACTTGGGCATCTGGTTAAGTGAAGATGTGATGCAGCAGGGCTGAGCTTGGGCTGCAGAGTCTGCATTTCTAATAAGCTGCTTGTCTTGGGACAAGTCCAGCCAGAATGCTCCTTAGAAGCAGTGATGGTGAGACTTGATCTCACATACTTTGGACATGTTACCAGTAGGCACCAAACCCTGGAAAAGGATGGCGTGCTTGGTAAAGTATAAAGGCATTGCGAAAGGGGAAAACCCTCGACAAGATGGAATGACACCGCGACTGTAACAAGAGGCTCAAACATAACAATTGTAAGGATGGTGCAGGACTGGGCAGTTTCTTCATCTATTGTAGATAGGGTCTCTGTGGTAGTTCGGGATGAAGTCAAGTAGACACTCAAGGGGTGGAGTTAGACCTGTCAATCACGTCACCACCTGAGGACACCTTGACATTGTAAGCCTTCTGCCGAAGAGCGAGGCTAACTGAGACCCTCTCCATCACATTGCCGTCCTGCCTGCTGCAACTCTGCCATCGACCCTGAGAGCTCTTGGCACCCTGCCATGTTTCCACTGACCTTAGATCCACACGACTCTGCACCCACCGGCCTGTGATCTTCCTGCTTCACTTCTCTGCATCACCAGCCTGCAGCTACATGAGTCAGGCTCAGTCGGGATGCCTTCTTCATATGTAATTACTTCTTGATATAAAACATTTTTTTAGATGAGTGTCACTGGATTTGTTTCTCTAGACAACCCGGCCTAACAGTCGCTGTGAGCAGAACACATTTTGCAGTGAAATGAACAGCCTCTTCTGGTTGAGGTGGGGAAGGAGGAGGGAGAGGGGACAGACTTACCAGAAGATCTTTAGATTTCTGCTGCAGGGGGTAACTTGGCTGGGAGGTTTGGGTATAGCAAGTATTCAAATACAATTTTTAAGATTGGTAGACAACCTTTTCTAGGAAAGAAAAAATCAGGGCAATGTAACTAAAAAAAAACAGACGCAGCACTGGTGTTTGAAATAATTATTTATTTTAAATACCTCAGAAGCTTTGTGTTAATGGAACATCCCCCCCCCCCTTCAGTTCTTATGCGCCTTAATCATCGGCCAGTCTTGCAGCTGCAGAAGGACCAACGATTTCAGCGCACAGTGTCCATCTCTCCCCTTCTACATGCATTTCTAGGCTCCATTGCATGCATTTGGATGACATAAAATCAATAAAACATTTAAAAAAAACAACTTAAAAGGTGATGTATTGGGTTTATTTTGCAACCCATGCCTACAAAAGAATACCGCTAGGTGGGTTAATATATTTGTAATGGATTTGCTAAGACATTTGTTTTACTACCTTTATAAGAGCTGCACTATTGGGTCAATGTTCTTGGGTTGTTCCTTCATGACGAACACCATCCCGTGGCTGGAGAGGCTATTTTAGACAGCTGTCAGTGGAAAAGTTGTCCAGTGATCGATTAGGAAAGTCTCTCCTGTATCCATACACACCGTCTCTGGCTTTTGTTCTGTTTCGGTTTGCTTTGGCTACCTGCAGAAAGCATCCCGCCCCTACTGTTGGAGATTTCATCTCGTGCGCGGGTTTTCTACTTGGTCCCTTTGTGTTACCGAGTGTGGGACAAAGGACTCTGGTTATATCCTTTGGCACCGACATCATAGCCACTCAGCTTACTATTTCTCCAAAGCTTGTACCAAAAAAAAAAAGGGGGGAGATGGGGGAGAAGGGTGTAGGTGCTGGCAGGCAGAACACATGTTGTGGAAATCTTTTTCCTTTGGTAGAAACCATCAACCATTTCTCCAAAGCAGAAAGAGACTGGGGTTCCTCCAAGCCCCCCACAAAAACGCTTAGCCTCCTGTGATGTCTCAAGAGAAATGTGTTGCCTTTGTCACCTTTTTTTAACCATTGCAAATGATTTCTAAGAAGAAGACTCATGTTAGAAAAATCTAATGTGTTCTGTTTCTGGGCCAGGGCGTAGGCGGCCACTGGAGATGGCACACTGGCAGGTTCCAATGCTGTCTTGGGTGCAGGAGCCAGCACCTGACCTCCGGGCAAGACAGATGACAGAGGTTACTCTTCAGCTGTGTGTCTACTTCTACAGGAGGCCCCAAAGCTCATGACTTATCACAAAGCCATCGTGCTCCACCCCGGGTGTTCCACAATCACCTGGAGGGCTTGTTCACGTACTGGTAGCTGGGCTTCACTCCTCAAGGGTTCACTGCACGGGTTTGGGGTAAGACCCACCAGTCTGCAGCTCCAGCAAGGGCCCAGGAGACACGGAGGCCGCCGGTCTAAGGACCACGCTTCCAGAACCATTTTCACGATAACGACATCTTGCTGGGCCTCCCAAAGATGATTGAGGTGCCACAACGGATTGCTCGGTGAGATCGGCTACCTATTTCCAGACGACAGCCAGGACTGGAACAGCACAGATCATGCCGTAGTAGTCCCTCTGTTCCCCGAGCTTGATATCCTTCTAAAAACGTTTTTCCTCCCATGCCATTCCCTCATGCTGGCTCGGAGAAGCGGTAAATCCTGAGGGCGGAAACCAAGCCTGGGCTTTGTCAGTCCTGGCAAAAAGCTCAAGACCATGCCAGGCACAGGCTGGTGGTCACGGACAGCCAGGCCACTGCTTGCGAGAGGAAATGGTGCTTCTAGGTACACAGCGAACCTTCTTTCTCAAAAAGGTGATGGGCTGTCCCCCAGAACGGAGGGAACAGAGGTGGATGTGTCTCTCTCTCTTCCCTCCTCACCTTTCCCCAACAACACGGTCTCTCCCGTCCCGGAGGGCGTCTCTGCCGGCAAACAGCGAAAAGGAAACCGCAAAGCTCCTGGACGATGTCTTAGCTCCTGGCTCGTTCGCTCCCCGCCACATCCCACTTTCAACATCCCACTGTTCGCCCGTGCCCCGCTCTGCACAAAGACATGTCTGTGCCCCAGACAACACTGCTCTCAATCGCTCCATTGATCGCACCCGGATTTGGTGAACGTCGGGCCCGGAGGAGGTCATTTTCCTTTTTTCAGAGAGGAAAAGATGAAACTAATTGTGTCCACGCGGGAGGTGTTTTCCTGGCCGCACGTCGGAACTCGCGCTCACGCGTGGAGCAGGGATGAGTGCAGCGCAGCACAGGGCAGAGGGCAGTGGGGGCCCCGGGGGCCCTGATGGTGCTGCCACAGCCTTCCTGCCCTGCCGGGGGACCTCCAGACACAGGCTCAGCTTAGAAGACAAAGACCCGAGGGGACCGCGGTGGGGAAAGATGGGCCTCGTGCCACTGTTTCCTGTTGTCACAGTTTCCGTTCCCTCCCAAGTGGCGTTGGGAGAGCACCCTGCACAACCGGCTAGACCTTGTCCATCTCGATCTGCTGGTGGTAATGCCGCGCCGGCCGCTGGCCCACGTTCAGTTTGTACACGGAGCTCTTGTGCTGGCACCTGCGGTAAGCCCACACGGCCCCCACGCCTGCCAGGAGCAGCAGCAGGCACAGCACAGTGACAATGGTGGCGACCACAGGGCCTCGGCTGAAGCTGGGACACTGGTCCCCCACACATGGCTCCAAAGTTGGAGGAAGCTTCTCACCGGCATCTGGGCCAGGGCCTTCCTGTCCCAAGAAGTCCTCAGACAGCAGGTATGGGAAGCTATCCTGGGCCGCAGGAGCACTGGTTTCCCCTGGTGGCTGGGGGGCCACAATGATGGGGGTAGGGGTGTGCTTAGGCACCTGCTGGGTGATGGTTGTGACTGCATCCGGGGTAGACTTGGTGAGTTCATAGGGTCGGCTGGCCACAGGAGAGTTATCGGTGGCCAATCTCCAAGACATCGTTGACTGGTACTTGGTCACATGACCATCCACCTTGCTGGAGCCCTCTGTCCCGGACACACTCACGGGTCTGAGAGTCAGAACTTCCACCTGAGATGGAAGAACTGGACGAGGGGCCGTGGTCAGGTTCTCGCTCAGTGTGCGGGCAGTAGTCCGGGGCTTCTGAACATCCACAAGAATGGGCTGGTCGTGAGTAACTAGGGCACTTTCATCCAATCCCACTGATCCATCCCCCTTGTCTCCATCCGCCTCCTCTTCCGCCGCCGTCTTCCTCCAAGCCCCATCCGTCACAGGGTAGCCATCTAACCAGGACTCGTCACTGCTGCTCACCATCGGGTCCCCTGCCTTGCTGTCGCTCCTGTCCACAAATGACCCTGAGGGGCCCTCGGTGCTGCTGTGGAGCACCTTGGTTTTGGGTTCTCCAGGGCCCACTTTCACGCCACTGTGGTTGTCTCCATCAGGAAACTGCTTTTTAGTATCATCATCCATCTCTTTGGCTAAGTCAGGTTGATGGACGGTCTCAGCGGGTGACCAGAACAAGTACTTCCGGTTTAGCCGGGGTCTGGGCAAGTCTGTGACGACAATACCCTCATTGCTGGGTGTGCCTGTGCTTGGGACAAGGGTGACTTCATTGCGAGCTCTGCTTTCTCCCCCCACCGAAATGGAGACCAGGTGGTCCTGCTTTGGAGCTTCCTCGGGGGCCTCTCCCTGATCCCTGTCCACCTCTGTCTCTGTCCGGGAATCTTCCATGAGCTCTCGGAATGACACGGACCTGTCATCGGGGAAATGATCTTCATAGTCAATATGTGCCTCCGCCTCACCTGGAAGGGAAGAGAAAAGTCCTCATGGGATCAAAGTCTGAGGGCCAGTGTAGAGCATAGCAGGTGAAATGAAAACCATTAAGGACCGGACCAGTAGAAATAAAAGCATCATCATTCACAGATGCTAGGACTGTGTGTCATACGTATACCAGCCCAAAGAACCTACATATAGACCATTACAATTAATATGAGCGGTTATCAAGGGTCAGGGGTCTAAGGTCAATATACAACAACTGTTCATCGGTTTGTTCTAATTACGTGGCAATGTATGATACTCACCTTCCTGACACAATCGCTAAAGACAAATGGGTGCATAAGCCAACATGGTGAAGAAAGCTGATGGTGCCTAGCTATCAAAAGATATAGTGTCTAGGGTGTCTAAATGCTTGAAGTCAAACAAGTGGCCATCTAGCAGGGAAGCAACAAAGCCCTCATGGAAGAAGCACACCAGCCTGTGTAATCATAAAGTGTTGACAGGAAAAGGTATCAGAAGTTCAAAAACAAGCAAGCAAATTGATGTGAAGGAGTGGGGCTGTGTGAAGACTCAAAACCCACCTGCAGGATAATTAGTCACTCTCAGAAGGGCCACACAGAAGGGAAGAGAAATCCAGGGTGTGGTGTGGTGCTGATGAAACACGTAACTACCCTATAGTTCTATAATATTTCTTCCCTTACTATTATGGTTTTTGTTTTATCTCATTAATCATGTTAGACTTGCGTATGTTCATTTGTATAATTAAGATCATTCGATACATGAAAGACAAGATAGATAAGCCTTCAGAAACAGTAACAGGTGTAATGGTTCCCTGAGGGAATGGGAAGTTAGGTGTGGGGGGAAGGAGGGATCAAGGAAGCTGACAGCATTGATGATTGTGTAACCCCACTCAAGGGGCATGAACAACAGAATTGTAGATGAATGGCTATATTGGATGGGGCTCTCCATTTGGTGAAGAAAGTATCTTAAAACAGTACTTTCGGAAACACTTAGAACAAGATGAGAAACATCAGGAGTGGAATCTATGGACAAACAAACATAAAGCTATACTTATCTCACTGAAATAAGCTGATCAAACTTTATCACATATTGTTTCAGACATATGATGAGTGGGCATTTCCTCTGTCACCCTATTTTGAGATGTGAATCAAACGGAGCAGTAAGTTCAAGTAGCCCCAAATTTTTCATTTTGTGGGGACTCAGGCTCTCAATTTCTTTCTCAGAAAGACAGTCCATGTTCAGTGTGTTACAAAGGGAGCAACAACACATGGCAAGACAGCTTTCCAATACAAACGGTCTTCATTATTTGTTTCCAGTTCATGAGTTAGGCCACGGTCATGTCTTCAGTTCAAACATGACAACATACAATCTCTGTACATTGAACTGTTTTCATCCTTATTAGTCACATTCAAGTTGTACCCCTTCATAAATCCATCTATAACACATTGATAATGAAATTACCTTAGAATACATAGTTTGCAAACACGATAATAGCTGACTAGTGAAGACTACAGTAGCCACTCCCTTGTATCGTTTCACCCTAAAAATATATTCTGGCTACAGAACCTGGTTTATCATCCAGAATTTTTTCACACAAATTTTCAAATGTGATGTTTATAGTCACTGGCTGCTCTTTTGATCCAATATATCGCTAGAAAAATCATTACACAAAACAGTGTATATTTCCTTCATTGATGGGGTATACTGGTGATCTCTTTCAAGTGTTGAAGAGCCAGACTGTCGCTTTGAGGACTAAGGTGTGACTGGGCCAAACCATGGTGTTTTCCATTGCCCATGTATGTGACAGTTGGTCATCAAATAAGGAAGACAGAAGAAGCGATGCCTTTGAATGACAATGCTGGCAAAGAATATCGAAAGTACCATGGGCTGCCTAAAGAACAAATGTGTCTTAGAACAGCTGTGGGTCTCGACCCCTTGGGGGTCGATCTAAGACCATCAGAAAAGACCATGTTTCCGATGATCTTAGGAATCATCTATCTCAGGAACTATCCATCTCCAGGTGGTCTGCCCACATGCAGATATGCCCACATATTAGTACCCTGTGTAAAGACTGTTACCCATGCTACACCATGCTTCAAGAAAAAAATTCATTTATTTGTAATTAGAAATAAATATTTCACCATATATAATTACACATTATTTTTGTGATTAATCATTACGCTTTAAATATGTTCAACTTGTAACAATGAAAATATATCCTGCATATCAGATATTTACATGATGATTCATAATAGTAGCAAAATGACAATTATGAAGTAGCAACGAAAATAATGTTATGGTTGTGGATCACCACCACATGAGGAACTGTATGAAAGGGTCGCGGCATGAGGAAGGTTGAGAGCCACTGTCTTAGAAGAAGTACAGCCTGAACTCTCCTTAGGATAAAGATGGTGAGATTTAGTTCTCATGTACTTTAAACATGTTATCAGAGGAGACCTGTCACCACAGAAGACCAGTCTCTGGAAAAGGACATCATGGTGGGTAAAGCAGAAGGACAGTAAAAAAGAGGAAGACTCTCAAGTAGATGGATTGACGTGGCGGCCGCAACAATGGGTTCAAACACAACCATTGTGAGCACAGTGCGAGTCTGGGCAGTGTTTCCTTCTGTTGTAAATTGGACCGCTCTGAGTCAGAACATCCTTGACAGCATACAACAACAACACAACCGCAACAATTTCAGATTCTAAAAGTTTTCCTTTGTTTTATTTTAATCATTTTATTGGGGGCTCATACAGCTCTTATCACAATCCATACATCCATTGTGTCAAGCACATTTGTACATAGGCTGCCATCATCCTTTTTGAAACATTTTCTTTCCACTTGAGCCCTTGGCATCACCTCCTCATCTTTTTTCTTCCCTCCCTCATCTTCCGACCCTCATGTACCCTTGATAAATTATAAGTTATTATTATTCTCATATCTTACACCATCCACAGTCTCCCTTCACCCATGTTTCTGTTGTTCGGCAACCTGGAGGGTGACGATTATACATCGATCATTGAGATTGGTTCCCCCTTCCTCCCCACACTTACCCCTACCCTCGTGGTATCTGAGTCACACACAATTGTCACGTGAGCAGGGTTCTGGGCTGCTGCTCTCAGCAAGGTGATGCCACTGATGTCACCTTGCTCAACAGCTGCCTCAACAGTTACATCTAGAGAAGCCCGTGTTCACAAATGGATATGGACTATAAGCAGGAACTCTTCTGGCCAGGTCGACTTTATCTTCTGGGATCTTACAAGGCAAGATTCCTATGTGGACTGAAGGATGCAGGGTTTTCACACGCTCCTCCCTGCCTGACATTTCCAGAAACCTTGCCGGCTCAGAGACATCTCCGACAGCCAGCCTGGCATCTTACAGAGCTTTTGCAGTACCTCCGGAAGCAACCAGATCAACACCAACGGAAGTTAGGTTCCTGGAAAACTCCAAGAAACTGGTTTTGTCTGACACACCAAATAAGGCAGGCTCCTTGGGAGTTATGGCTGCAGACAGAGGGCCTGTGGCTAAGTGGCAGGCAGTGGTGGGAACAACAGATGGGAAGGGAGGCATATGGCCCAGGTAGATGGTTGTTTAAGACAAGCCTCCACATGCTATTTTTTTCTGATAGCCGAGCACCATCTGCTTTCTTCACCACACTTTGAGGGCAAGTTCTAAGTAAGGTCATGTCAAAAGAACAAATTGCTCTTGAGTTAAGGCTACGATTCACTGCAAGCTCAAACTCCATTCATCTGTCATAGTTTCCATATGTCCCTGTCTACTTTAGAGACATCATGATCATTTTATCAGGGAACATTATAAATCATACCTGCAGGGTACATGGTAAGTCTACTGATGCAGTTTTCAGATGTCTTTGAGTCAGTTTCAGCCCACGGTGACTGCACGACAGTCCAACACTGCCTGGTCCTGTGCTGTCCTCGCACTGATTCTATGTTTGCGCCCATTGTGTCAGTCTTGTCGAGGGTCTTCCTCTTTTTCACTGCGCCTACTGTTTACCAAACATGATCTCCTTTTCCAGGGGCTGGTCTCTCCTGACAACATGTCTAAAGTACATGAGATGAAGTCTTGCCACCCTTGCTTCTATAGAGTATTCTAGCTGTACTTCTTTGAAGATACACTTGTTGGTTCTCTTGCCAGTCCATGGACTTTCAATATTTTTTGCCAGCACAATTCAAATACATTGCTTCTTCATTGGTTTACCTTATTCATGTCCAACTTTCACATGCCTAGGAGGCAATTGGGTCAGGTGCACAAAGTAACCTCTCTGTTTTCCCACATCCTAAAAAGGTCTACTGCAGTATACTTACCCAATAGAATGTTCTAACTTGTGGGAAACTGAGAACGGGGAAGAGAGTGTATGAAGGGCTACCCCCCAGAAAAAAAACCCAGAATTTCCCCCCAAAATTATGTCTTTTAAGCTTTTTTACAAAACCACCTTATCACCTTCAAAGTACTCTCCATTACACTTAATGTATTTGTCAAATCTGCAATTCCATTCTTGGAAACATTTTTCAGGCTCAATCTGTTTGGATGGCTGACAGCACCTCTCTGGTTTTTTTCTTCACCTCTTCTAAGTAGTCATGTCCTTCCATGTCTTTCTTCACTTGAGGAAACAAAAAGAAGTCCCACGAGCAGGGTCAGGTTAGTCTGGTGTGTGGGGAAAGAGAGGCATGCTGCTTTGTTGGCCAAAAACTGGCGCACTGAGATGGCTGCATGAGCAGGTGCGCTGTATGGTGGCAAAACCAGTCCCATCTGCCCCAAATCAGGCCTGGTTTGTCACACTGTTAATGCAATCTTTTCAGAACTTCTAAATAGAAAGCTTGATTAACAGTCTCACCTGGTGGAATGAACTCCAAATGCACTACAAGTCAACATTTTCATCCATTCAGTAAGTTGATAGACATCCAGAATGAGGTTTGTCATCAATTGACATTTCACCTTTTGTGAAATGAGAAAACTACTCATACACTTGAGTTCTTCCCATAGC